TCCTTCCTTCCCTTTTTATTTTTATAAGCAGGTATGATTAGATGTAAAGCTTTAGGAAAATGTCTGGCATTGCTCTTTCAACATGAAGGTTCAAGAAGTGCCAAGGATGACTCCTATTTTCCTTAACTGGTGTTTGACATTGACTGTCTGTTCCCTAAAGAAAACTTTCCCAGAAAAAGTCAGCAACAGTTATTTGCTAACTGGTTTTAATAAAAAAAAGGAAAAAGAAAGAAAAGAGGAGAGACATATTCAGAAGCAGTCCATTGTTCTCATACCTTACAGTATCAGATGGCAATCTGTCTTGAGAGTGCATGACTCAGGTCTTTATAGCCTCATGAATCTTCTTAAAGAAATACAGGCTAAATATGAACAGTTAATGAAATTTGTCTGTGTCCCTCATTATGATAGAAATGTTAGAATCAGCTACAGGCACAGCTGCCACTTGTTGATTATTGAGATGATCAGTAGACATATTCCACCAACCTTTGAACAGGTGCAAGCTTGACAGGTTTATTGAAACATGATAGGAGTGAATATACAAGTGTGTGAGGCATTGGGATCTGACTGGCTGATCATAGAGACGAAATCCATTGAATACTTGGAAATGTCAGTTTGATTCTCTAGCTTGAGAGGCAGTGTATGAGTCAGAGCTGTTGATGGAAATTGACCTCTCCAGCAATGTCTGAAGTATCAAGGGCCAAGTAATTTAAGGGATACATTCAAAACAGGATTCTGGTATCACCACTGTTGGCAAACTTGCACACTTTCAAATAGGAATGTGTATGAGTGTAAATATTCATACTGTTCTGCTCTACTAATTATTTTGTAACATGTATCCAGCATCCTCTGTTATTGGTAAATTAAATATAAAATTAGACACAACATTTTTGTCTGACCTTGGAATTTTGGGAAAAAAGAGATTGTCCTACTTTTCTGTATTATGTCTTGTATTGTGTTGAGAACATGAATTTGAGCCTTTTCAGCATTCAGGAGGAGGAGGCTTTGTTTCCAGGAAATTTAATTGCCATGAAAAGCCTTTTGGCAAACAGCAGTGAGATCTAGTGCAACACTGTGTTCTGAATGCCTCAAAGGTTTTGCCTTTTTTTCCTTACATGCTACAATAGACCCATGATTGATTTGACAGCTTATTTTTTTCTCAGATGTTACCAGTGTAAAGCACATTTTACTCAGTCCTTACCTCTGCCTACAGCAGGACAATAACTGCTGCAATTTTTGCTAAAATCCCCATCTGTGTTTAGGCATGCTTTTCAAAGAAAAATATCACGGGGTCATTAAAACTTCATACTTAATAAGGGGACTTACCTTGTTGGCATTTCTGTGGACATGAAAGGAAAAACAGCACTATGTGTCAGTGTGTAATTTCTGAAACATTGCACTTTCATACTTTGTCAAAGGTGAGAGTAGCTCTGGATTCAGAAAGGCCAGTTGTTAATAAGCAGTGAAGAGGAAGTATGTAGGAAAGGCCATTACCAGAGCTGGGTGGTGCATAGAGAAGAATTTCATAACAAGCCAAAATGGAAACAGTTAGATGAACAATGAGTCAGAGAACTAACAAGTACATGTTTTTAGATTTATACTACAATATTAGGATTAAGGAATCTTCTGAAGTTCCTGAGATTGTGTAGCCATACATTAATTTATACCCAAGCAGAAGTTTAAAGAACTAGTCCTGTTAATACAATGAAGGATCCTTACCTGGCTTGTCTTTTTTCCATTTCATTTTTACTTAGGGAAGAGAGAAATTTTTATGAGCCAGCCAGTTATTGGATCAGCTGATAAAAGATCTTGCTGGTGTCTTAGTGTATGACTAGTTTTCACACTCTGTGTGTTTTTTCTTTGTGCTGAGTGATTACCTGTGCATTTTTCTTACTCTGCAATTCTTAAAGCTTCTTTATTTCAACTTCAGTCCACTAGCCTTGTGTGAAAAAATGTTTATAAGTCATCATGCCATTTTTACTTCCATCCTGTAACTACCTTTTCTGCTTAGTCTGAATTTTAAACTATGGGCTACCAATTATTTTTAATTCTCAATATAGTGGCTGATAGAGTTGGACCATTTCTGCTTCTGAGTGATCTTGGAATATATGCTTTCCTTGTAGGATGAGGTAAGGTAAACAGTGGAAGAATTTAATTTTCAAACAAGTAGAGTTTTCCTTTGTCCTCCTTGTGTGTAGTTTTGAACTGGCTTGCTGAAAGAGGTGCAAGAGATCTGGAGCAGTGAACAGAAGCTCTCTGTAAACATGACCATGATTTGGAATATAGGGATATTCTTGCAGTGAAATGAAAATGAAATTGAGGGAATTTGCAAGAGTAGAATAGCAGAAAGGAATGCAATTCTTGGAAAATACTAGAAAGCCAGAATAAAAGTGTCTTAGTTTAGTGTCTCATATTTGGCAGTTTTATTCCACTCACAACTTTCTTAAATGTGCAAGATATGGGAGTAAAAATGTTAGAAGTCCAAATTGCATAAAGTAAAGCAGTGGTGAGAATTATTTGTGACACTGCCAATTATAATTGAGAAATTTTATTCAGAAATATGATTATTAAATAGCATTAATTTGTTAATAATGCATTGAATGACTCCTACACAAATGGAATAGGCAATATATGAAAAGGATATTTTGTCTGTAAGTAGAATGGAAGACTGATTGTCATTTGCTCAATCATAGATTCTGTTTGAGATTTATTCTTCCTCATAGAAAACTACCTATTCCTGTGCTTCCTGTGCACAGCCTGTGAGTACCTCATAATTGCCCTGCAAAGCTGGTGCTGGGAAACTCAGATTCTTTTTTCATTGCAAGTGATGGATATTTCTGTGCTTTGTGCCAGGGGCATAAAGTGTTGCTACTGACACCCTACAGGTTTTGCATAAAATCAGAACATTGCTCTTTATTATAATACAGAAACTTGGTTCTGGCCTAAATATGTAGAGACAATTGGCTGCATATATTTTTTTTTTTTTTTTTTTGATTGCCATTGAACATATTATCCCAGCCATATCTGCTTGGATATCTAGTCTAATTAATATTTAACTTTTTATAAACTCCTGTTTTTACAGGATAATTAAAAATGTCTCAACTCAAGAATATACTATTTTTAAAAATAATTATACAGAGAATGAGTCATCTATAAAAATCTGTTTTTGAAAAGTAACATGAAAAGAAAAATTGTAAAAACCTTGCAAGAGATTTTTGCTCTCAGAATCCTGTTGGTATTTAGGGAATATTTTGTTTTCTGAGTAAAAGTAATAGTCTTTAACTATTCTACAGCTTCTGTGTTTTGTGATTTGTCACTCTAACACAACTGTCATTTTGTCTACCCTGTATAAACCAGTATTTCCTTAAAGGTTTATTTTGGGCAACTGTCCTCTCTTGTGCCAAAGAGAGCATTTTTTTTTTCAAAGTAATGTAATATACAATATTTCAAGACTCTCCTAAAAGCTTTACTGGCCTTTGATCTTGCTCTGGTGTTCAGAGAGGGAGGATTAGGTAGAGTGCGTGTAACTACACTCGCTGAGAATGCTAAAACAAACTTTACCATATATAGAAACAAAATCCTTTGTAAATTCATTGTGTAGATAACATTTTTTTATTCAGCATATGCTGTGGAGGCAAGGGTTTTAGTTGATGGTACTGACCATAAACTGAAGACTTGCATTTAATTTCAAAACTTCATGCATTTATAAAAAGATAAGAATAATCTGCTTGTGGAGATTTCTCGTTAACAGTTTCAAAGAAGCTATCTGAATAGCTTGCTTGGATGACAGGAGCAAAAAAGAGAAACAGAAATGGGTAAATCTGCAGAGTATGCTTGCCTTCAGAGAGAAAATTTGCTGGATACAAGCCAGCAAACATGTTTTATTTCCCACCATTTCATTTATAAATGTATGAACCCCCTAGGAAGATAATGGTCTTGTCCTTGTGAAAAAGACCCTTAAGTGGAATTTAAATCAAGTACATGTCTTTTACAAGCAAGTCCGATTTATATGCAGCTGCAGAGTTATGCTCTTTGATATGGTTTATAGAAATTTGAACCAGAAATCTTGATCAAACAGCTCTGAGATTTGACACATCTGAAATCAGGTCCAGTTTCTGAGAATGGATAAGCAGTCAGTAATTTAATCTCTGTTAAGAAGCCTTTCCCCTACGAAGCTTGCAATCAATTCTTAAAACCAGGCATGTTGAGGCAGTGAGATGCAGTAGGAGCAGATCAGTTGATATTGAGGCATCTGCCTTAACGCATGTCTCAGGCATGGTCTATTCAGCTCCAGTTTGATTCTATGGATTGAGTTCCCATTAGTGGTTGGTGTGCATTAGCAGTGCTCCCAGATCACAACTTCTGGTTGAATTTCATCCTGAAGGAAACCACTTTGTGCACTCTGAAGTTGCGTGATGTGAACAAAAATGCAGTCAGTGGGAATAGTGGGGGGTTTACATTGAATAGCCCACTTCTGATCTGAACAGAAGTATGAGTCTAATTTTTTAGGAGACGAAAAGTAGTTGAAAAAATGAAGGAAGCTATTTAGTTGATGGAAAAACCAGTTTATTTTAACTACTTTAGAGTACTTTCTAAGATTTCAGATTTTTGGCAAAACTGCATTACTTAAAAGACTGAAAGCATTTGTCTTGGAACATTGATTCAAGAGTAACATATAATCAACTAGATAGATTAATAAACATATTAATCTGTGTATTTTCAGAAGTTATTCTTGGCTTCCTCATTTGGAGTATTGCAGTTTCTTAAAAGAGGAGTTTTGAGTCTTCAGTTTGGAAAGCACATGAACTCATTCTGTTTTAGAAAGCCCTGGATGTGTTCTCAAATGCCTAATATAAAAATTGTCTTTCATTCTTGCCAGGGATCTGGTCAATCCAAAGCATGCTGCTCTCTCAGATTGAAATCCAAACCTCTTTTGTTGTCAGGTCACTTGATGCTCACACTTCCTCATTTTCCGTACCAGATGAAAAGAAACACAGAATATGTATCATATGTAGTAGATTTATTTTTACTTTTAGTTACTCCACAAAGACATAGAAATTAAACAAACATTTGAAAACACCAATGACATTTAAAGTTTGTAAAAATAGACATTATGCACACTCTTATTTTCAAAAGAATTTTCAGATTTATGAGCTTTATCAATGGAAAAATATTAATACTACACATTTCCTCCAGGATACCTGAGGAGCAGAATTGTATTTTGTGCCCAAAAGTAATTCAGGAACTAACCTTGAAAAGGCTGCAACACTTTTTTTTTTTTTTAATCTCTGCATTTGATATGGAAATGTAGGTAATAAATGCAGTGACACACACATTTTTAAAACTTTTGAGTTCTGAAAAAATACTTTAAGACATTTTGAAAAGTCTTTGAGTGTGTGGACATTGTATTTAAATCTTTGGGAATTGTGAATTGTTAAGATAAATTTGGAGTATGTATAATTAATTTTGATTCCATATTCTACTTGTATTATAGGCTTCTTACATTATAGAATCGAAAAAGTACATAAGATTGTTTGTCTCTGGGTTGTTAATTTTTTGCTGGTCTTGTGGACTTGATATAAAATTTTGTAGATTTTGTAGATTTTTCTACTTTAGAGCAGGTTCAAAATACCCCAATAAAGAATTTATGACTTGGTTTGATGTTTTCTAGAAGTATGGTTTAACTGTTACGTGTGTTTATGTGGCTGGCACCTACCAGAAAACAATGTAGTCCTTGACAAGTTTCAGAAACTGATTACAAACCCACATTCCTTCAGCTTTTTGGTTTTTTTATTCCTTAGGACTTCCCCAGGCTTTTTAATAAAATACCTTGCCTTTGCATATTTTAATTAACATTTATTTTAAAATTGTCCAAGCTTTAATTTACCAGCAGTAAAGATATTGTGGTGATATATCCCTGTCACAGGCTTTGTTTCTAGTATGGAAATTGGAAAATGGAGATACAAAAATATTTTGGAGATACAAGTATTATTTTCTGCAGAAAAGTTTTAAAATTTGTTTTCATTCTCAATTCACAGTGAATTCACAATTCCTATTAGAGTGTGAGGTTCTTTTTCCAAAAAAACAATTTATGTGTGTGCATGCCTTAGAACAATTTTCTGCAAAGTGATGTGAAAGTTGATATAATTTGAAAATCATTAAGACAACATAGAACTTTTGCTTTGCTTCATACTAACCAGTCTTTATTATATTAACCATTTTATTGTGTGACTTGACATTTATTTTTATCACAGCTGCTGCATCAGAAAATTAAGGTACTATAACCCCAAATTCAGAGCAAAGTAAGCAAAACATGTTTGGGGCATACATTAATGATAGTTGAATAATAGCAGACACGAACAACTGCTTGTATTGTACTAAACATGTAAAATTGCTGCTCTTCTAATCTGTCAAGTTTCTACATTTGTAGCGGCCCAGCCTGTAAGACTTTGATGGTGTTGGTGTTTGCACAAATACTTAATTTATGTTAAAAATAATGTCTTGCTTACAGCACTTATGTATGTTATATATATATGTGTACATAATGCTGTAGCATTCATGTAATACGTCAGCTGTTTCACTTTTTGTATTCCAGGAGAGCTGTTTTAGTTTATACTTCCTTGAGTTATATTGACAGTTTCAAAACCAATATTTTAGCAGAATTTTGCTGGTATAATGTACTATTGCTGGCTAACAAGGATTTCTGCCTCTCTCAGAATCCCACAGGGAAAGGTTTAAAAGCTGCTACTTTGGATTTAGGCAGAAGTCCTGACACTCGTACTGCAGTTCTAAGCTGGTAAAGGCTTTTTGTGTGCATGCATACGTTTGTGTGTTAACCTAGGACTAGCATTTTGGGTAAACCGTGACTGTTTCATATCCCTCTGGTGGTCTCATGCGGGCGCGGGCATGAGCTTCACAGTACAGCTGGCCCTCCACAAAGAAGTAGCCTTTTTGTTTCAGGTTGAGATCGCAGTCAGAGCACACGAAGCATTCTGGATGCCGGTATTTATCACGTGCCTTCACCACTGTCCCTCTGTATGGAAACAAGGAAAAGCCCCAGTCAATTAATATGAATTTAAAATGAGAAAAGAAACTGCAGCAACCCAGACTATTATAAGGTATCCTTGCCCACAGTAGGGGGGTTGGAACCAGATGATCTTGAATTCCCTCCCAACTCAAACCATTCGGATTCTATGATACAGTGTATGTTCTAGGTATTTATTTTAAGGCTTTACAGTTGTTCTTCTTGTGGTTTTAGAAACTACTATATAATTTAAGGTTGGATGCTGAGTTTGTGTAGGCGACATAAAATCCTGTAGAGTTGATCACATAGTTCATGAGCACTGGAAAATGAAGAGTTTGAGGAAATATGCTGGTTTGGTTCCAAGACAGAAAGCACAGCCTAACCTATCAAAAGGGTGACAAAAAGAGTTTAAAAACCACATTGCTTTTTATTAATGTCTGTGTTTTCTAAGTTCATCATTATCTGTGTTCTTTGCTGAAGTTAGTGATGTTAATCAGGTAGAAATTGGATAGTTTTAAAACAGGTCTACAGAGCTTATTGGATACTCCCACTGGGTTGGGAGAAGGATGCTTTGCATTAACAAGAAATTTTTGAGAATTCACAGCCTGACACAGCACAGCATGAGTAACTGCTGGTTTCATTATGTAATTAATGGTTGACTTGCAAAAGGTCCTGAGAAATCTCAATTAAGACCTCAGTGGTAGTTTGTCAAAACTTATATAATCTGTATTAAAATTGTTGAAGGTACAGGTTATAATTTGACATTTAGAACAATATATTTTTGTATCTCTGTTCTCTAGCAGCATTACAGGAACACACTTCTATAGTTTGCTGTGGTGGTGGAGGATGACGTGTGCTTGAGCTGGGGATTTCTAAGACTAAAAAGAAACAACTTACAGAATCCCACTCCCACATTTGTCACACAGTGGCACTTTCTGGACACCAGGCATGGCAGTAGGTGTCTTTGTTACAGGTGCTTTCACACTTCTTGTTCCCATAGGGCGCCCATCTGAGAAACAAAACAATCCTGTTATGTACAGGCTAATATAAAAGCATCTGTTGCAGTTAAGTACTTTTCTGCACTTTTCTGTATTTTCTCTACTGTACCTACACTTCTGGATGTATTTACAGGCTTTCACTTACATGAACAAACAATGCAGTCTCACTAGAAAAGTTTAGTAGGCTAGATTCCACCTCTTTGGAATCAGGAGAAATATTGTGTAAGCTGTAGCCAGAAGCAAGTCCAAAAGAGATTGCATATGCCGTGCTCTCTGCCTCATGGACATCGCTTAATTCTCTGAGAGTAGGTCTTGGATATAGCAGAGAGGGAGAAGGAATGGACTTTAACACAGAAACATGACATAATCAAGACCTATTGTCAGAAAGCTTCTTATTTATATAACTAACTGTACAACAATTTGGAAAGATTAGTAACATGATATGAATACAAAATAATAGCAAAATACAAGAAAATGCTAAGTAAAATCCCGCAATGATATGTATGTAAACAATTAGATTTCTTTATTCCTTCTCTAGTAAATATTGATATATAAACATTAAAATTTAAAATATTACCTTTTAGGTTAATTTTGGTTGTATTTTGCTCTTTGTGCTTACTGTAAATATCATAAACTTGCAGCCTTTAATAATTTTATTTTCTAAACTTCTTCATTTGAAGGAAATATGACTATAAATTATATTGTCTTCTTCAGTTTTATTTATAATAAAGAGGAAATAGGTTTTAAGGGGATTTCAGGAGTTGGTTTAAATTCCTTTTTCCCTAGGTGTGGAAGAGAGTGTTTTCTTTCTTGGTGTCATAAGTATAAGCAGCTCGTCCCAGAAATTCTTGCAGATGAAACTTTATTCAGTTAAACTCAACTTTGGATATTAAAGGTGTTAAAATCTGAGAGGAGATTCTGGAAAATGTGATCAGCACTGCATTGTATTCACAGAGGAGACTGCTTGCTGTACAAGCAAGGAGGGGAAATGGCAGGAGACTGGTGTGGTAGCTATAAGGTCCAGAATTATTTGGGCTTTCAGAAATTCTTGTATCTCTAATCTTTCTCATTTTCTTCATGGATTCCCCCCTCCCACAAACATTTAAAAATTGTTTGAACAGGTAGAATATGTTGTTATTAACCACCTTCCTCGGAGACTAAATTCTGGAGCACCTTAAAGGAGCCAGACTGGCGCGGCTGACTGGGCTCCTCCTGGTTAGCGTGCAGCATCTTGTACACGTCAGACTGAGACATTGAGTTGGGAGATGGGTCACTGTGTTAAAGAAGGAAGAGCAGATAAAAACAGTTTATCAAACATAACTCTAAAGCAATGTCTCTACCAGGCATAGAGTATGATTCAGGAAACAAACATAAAGACATATTCCTATGACTATTGAGAAACTTTCTTCCAGGTAACATTGCTTTATATAGCCTCCTTTTGATCTGAAAAGTGCTGAAAAAACTTAAATCCGTGCAACTGTTACAAAAATAAATCTAGAAACTCGTTAATGTATTTCCATGATTACTGCTTTGGCTCTACTGGCATTTGAGAAAAGGCCATTTAATCTCAAAGTAGTTTAATTCCAGTAATCATCTGCTGCATTACCAGGTGCTCTCTGCTATGGTATCCAGAAGTTCCCTTTTTGCAGCAGCTGCCCTCGAGAATGTTGTTAAAATCACAGCTCATGCCTTTACATAAGGTCGGCCAAAACCTAACCAGTCAAATCTTTTGGGAGAACATGACTTCTAAGTCAGCTTGATCACTAGCTAATATAGGGATTATTTGGCTAAGAGAATTGTTATTTATTAAATGTATGGAGATTACGAAAAGGAGTGAAATAAGTATCGCAAAATAGGAAACACTGTAAGGTGAATACTGAAAAATGGATGTTCTATTTCTTAATTTAATAAAAATAAGACAAGGCTTTCTTTTGCAGTGGCTATGTTATAATAAAAATATAAAGTAATTTATTGTCCAAGTAGGAGTTGATGGTTGAATCTCAAATGACCTGTGAGACAAAGATTTTACTGAGAATATTTCATGGCATTTTAAACTTTGCTGAATATTTTGAATTGTTCATGATAAATGGCATCCTAAATAGTCAAGGGGAAGAGTAGAGGACTATATGCAATGACAGAAATTAGACGGAATATGTAGCATTTGTAAATTTCATATACTTACTGGGGGTAATCAGAAGCATCCAAATTTAATTTGACACATTCTGTTACCTTACAGCTACACAAGCTACACACACAAATGTCCAGTTTAAATTTCCTGTTGCAACTGGCTTCCTACTGTCCACAAAGAATTAGACAGAGTTTTTCTTTAAATGGTTTGGTTTTTTTTCCCAGGGTAGCATCCAGGCTGCCAAATGGCCCAGTAAGAGCAGCAGCAGCTGGACAGTGACCCCTGTTGCTTATGTGAATTTTTTGATCTTCATCAATCAGTAGATTTCTTTGAACCATCTTAAACTGGTGAAAAAACTACCAGTTTCTCTTGTCAGAAGCTTTTAATGAATAGAAATGTAATTTTTACTATTCTTGGCAATGTTTAATTAAACCCCTGAATTCTCTCCTCTTTACAAAAATATTTATAAATATAAGGCAAGTAATAGTGCAATTACATAAAGAAGGCAAAAAAAAATCCAGACACAAATGTGTCATTTTACATTTCTTGATGCATTCATAGTGAAAACTATCCCACAGCAAGAGACATTTCACACCTGCATAGAGAGAGTAGGCGATGTACAGGCAGTGTGAAATCTGATTACTTTGGGCATAATCCATTATTTCACAATAATCCAGCAGCAAATTTTTCTTTTATTGTTCTCTGATTGTTCTGATTGAGCATAAATATTCAAGAAATAGAGTAACTTCACTCTGAAAAGACTTCATGAACTACAGTTTTCATTAGATAGGATGAACCTAAATACTTTTATATAAACATATTTTTTTTTGTTAGCACCAGTCAAATTCTGCAGGGTGCTGAAGAAGACTCATTGGTGCCAATGATTATTGCTTATTTAAAATATTAGTACTTATCTTTAGTTTATGCCATATACATTATGAATTATTAACTTAAGTACTGTTGTAGAACAGGAAAATAGGTTACTATTATGCAAAGGTAAAGATAAAGCAACCTAAATGGTGAATTGTTTCCTAAAAAAATGAATAGTGCTTTAAAACTTTTTCTTGTATAATCATAATTATTATCCATATACATAAGGCTCCTACCTGACTTTAGTTGTGCAGTGAATAAATTCATAAGTCAGACATGGATTTGCAGGCCTACAGTAAATTCTGTCTCTTTTTATACGAGATCTAGTTGTACTGAATGAGTTGTCTAGAATGGGAGTTAAGTATCTAGAACACTATAACCATCTATAATATTTCCTAATCTTTGTAACCTGAATTTCAACAGTAGATATAAACTTAATTTTTTTATTATTTTATGGATTATTAATAAGATGAAATTATTAAATCTTTATTAGATAAATATAATATTTTATTTAAAAGTTTTAAATTTTGTAGAGAATCGGAGTCTTGAAGTGGTCAGTCAGGTAATAGTCCAGGTAGTATAGTATTACTACCAGGTAATAGTCCACGTAGTAGTAGTTTTTTATTTATTAGCTACAATTCTAAAATTATTACTTATGAAATATTTATTTGTATGTTCTGAAGGACTCCTATCATACTTTGGGTTAAAACCCAGAAATTACGAATATTTTAGTGAATATTGAATGGTTATAAATTACTTGGTTTCTCTCTAACCCTTTTCCTCTTTTTTTGTAGAAACAGTGTGATACTTTTTTTTGGTATATTTTAAATTTGTGTATTCATAAATATTATAGATGCCGCTCTAATTACCTTATGACAGGTGTTTCCCCCAGAGCTGTAGACACTTGGCCTTGCAGTGTTTCCATGATATTGTCATCTGAGTACAACTGCATAGGTGTGTTAAACTGGGCGTGTACAATCTTGACACCGGGAAGCTCCATTTCCAGGGGGACATTAGGGGCCATCTTAGACACTGCCTTCAGCTCGGTGGGGCAGATGGAGCTGACCGTGCTAATGGAAGAGGGGGTGCTGCGCCCACTGCCACAGTCCAGCCCCGAAGGAGTGCTGCATCCACTGTGTTCATGGCCAGAGTGCAGGAAAGGGTGCAGTGTGCAGGGGATTACAGAGAGTGAAGACAAAAGGACAGGGGTACGGTGATGTTAACAGCGCTGAAAGGCATAAATGGAACAAGCTCCAAAAAGCAAAACTACAGAAAGCAGAGAAAAGCAAAAGTATGTGTAGTCATTGATGATAGTTTTCCTATAAAAAGTATCAAGGCCAGCTATAAAGCAGTCCTTAAAATCCTGGCATGCATTTTCTTTAAAGGTAGTAAAAATCCTTTGATAGGTGAAATAATTCAGTATATAACATTATTTTACATTTTTAATGCTAGGTTTTATTGAGGAATAATTAAGCCTCCCTAAAATTCTTTGTTCTGAGTAATTCTTATAATCTATGAAAAGAGTAGTAAATTGTTCATGTCAGAGACAGAATAAACACCTGCAGCACTGGAAGAATCCTAGACACATCATTCCAGTTCTGTACCTCACAATTATCTCGCTATACTGCTGAAAAATTACTATGAAGTAGTGTAAAATAATGAATGTGACATTTTCTGGATTTACTTAAATTCTAGAGTAAGATATTTATGAATCTTTTAAAACTAGTTTAACAATTTTTTTAAAAAAAAGTATTTGATCATCATTGCAAAGAAGAAAAGTTACTAAAACATCCAGGCTTACTTTTGCATTTCTAAATTAGTGTTTCCAGTAGAATGTAAAGTAGTCCTTCACAAGAACAATGGGTTAATTCAGAGAATTAATCTTACGGCTTTTGAAGTAGACTTTACATATAACTTATATATAAAAATAAGAGGTACACTTTTAAAAAATATTAGTGTTGCTTGACATGACTGAAGTAACTGTACACCAATTCAACATACCTGGAAAAAGATTGGCAAAAGAATGTGAATATTAGACCTGAAGTCTTTCTCAGTATCACTATTTTGAACACTTCAGTCTTGTCTGCATAGTACCTCAGAGGCTTTATTTGTTATGGGGTATTTCTTTACTGTTATTGTGTAACTGCATCAGATCTTTCTACAGTCATTGGTTACCATTTATGTGATATTCTGAGCTGTGGGACAATAAATGCTTTATCTCTGTCCTCCAGCCTGATATCAGAGTTGTGGGTGGTCCTTTCCAAGCTGTGTAAATGTGGGACAATGCTCTGTTTCCCAGTTTGATAGTACAGAACTCTGCCCAGTAGCTGCTGTCGGGTGGAGTAGAAAACCCAAAATTCTCCCTTTGATTCAAAGCAGAATTTGTGTAGGACCACTTTCTCAGAGTTTTAAAGGGAAATATACTTTTTTAAAATCAAAGACATGTCAAACAAAAGCATTCCTGAAATGGTAGGCAAGCCTTAACGCAAATATAGTTGTGCATCATCACCAAGCATGAGCCAGCCAAAAAATTCACACAGGGCAACATATGTATTTGCAGTATTTCCTTTTAGAAGGAAATCACCATTAGATCCTGCAGTAGAATAAGTTTTGTCAGTGCTAATAGTGTTAGTAAATGGAACATAGCGGGAAAAGACTAGAAAAAGCACAACTCTCTCACTATGTGAAGCCAAAATAATATTAAAACAGAATAAATTATAGGTTAAAAAAATAACGTGTAGTTATATATTAAAGACAATTTCCAGTTAGTTTCACCAGAGTAAAGTCCAAAATTCTGTCCAATGTCCAATCCATTGGCTCAAACCCACAGTCCACAATCATGTCTTCTTTTAGTCAGAGTCCTATTTAGCCTATGCTCTCTGTCCTAAAGAGATATTTAGAGCCGAGATGGTGATTTGTGTTTTGCTGTATTTAGCAGTGGATTAATTAAAACTAATGAAAAAGTAGTGGAAAAACTGTGACAACCAAGGTTTTTCAGATATAACACCCTGTGTCAGAGGTTCTGCAGTTTGCAAGTGCAGACTTCCCCAGTGCTAGAATTCCAGACAGACCTTGCCCATCTGGAGTTCTTAAACTTGTTACATTGCTGGTGGGGTAGTTTTTGCAGTTTATTTTCTTCATCTTGTATTCTGGTAAAAGGCCATTTACTTCAACACTTTCATGGAAAATACTATATCATTTTCATTTCTGAATTGTGAGATTATACTCATTTGACTCTTCATAAATCTAGGCACTTGTAAAATGGTACCTATCAGTCCCAAAGCCAGCTTTGTGTGGTACCTGGTGGTCCCACAAACTGCTACTGCTAGAAAGGATAAAGGATCACATCATAATATATTTCATCCCTCGGGCCCTTTTGAGCTTCCTTGTGTTTTTTTAGCCACAGAGTTTGCATTGTTTTTTTCCCCTCTGTAGTGAGGAATTTCATCACCGGTTAAGATGGAGGTTTGTTACACTAAAATGATGGATATAAATATATAATATTTTCTGCATTGGAACTTTACAAATCTGTGTCATCAGTTTTCCTACTTTTACTTCAGCAGTAGATTGCCCTCTGGAAAGAGGTCTGCTGAAATGCAAGTTTGAAATCTCTGAATGCTTTTAACTCTCTAGCTATCTTTTATTTATATGTAGGATATCTTTTTTTAATATGAAATAAATAATACATATATACTATGTATCTATCTTTTATTTAGCATGTTAACAAATTACACTACATTTGGTCAGAAGAAGTTCTGGTGCTGTGCTGTAAACTGAATTGTAGCTTCAGTTACTTCAGACTCTGATCAGTATAACTGTAGTTATATAGATCTACACTATACTGAGTGTAGATCTACTTTCTTTTGGAAAGAGAAATTTGAATTTCAAGCCTGAGCTCTGAAAGACAACCATTTCATTCTTCTTGCTTGCTTTCAATTTCAGCATTAGGCTATCTAGTACTATAAGTAAATTTCAAATGCATCAGAATGCTTAATTAATGTCAATGGTGAGTATTTGTCCATTAAAAAAATAACACCATGCATCAAATTCAGAACAGCAGTCAAAGTTTATAACCTGCTTCGGCCTGAGATTATGAAGGGTTTGGGCCGAATATTATGCTTGTGTTCAAAGTAGTTGATATCCTGTAAAGAAAAAAGAGATAAAATAGCTTTCTTTGGCCTACAAATGCTCATTCAGTCATAATGCTTTCTAGTTTAAATGTAGCTAACAATGTTTAAAAATTTTAACCGTGAAGTAACCATGTTTAGTTTGTTCATTCCTGGTGCTCAAAATACAATCACTGCAGTGTTCAGAAACATGCAAAGTAAAGTGCACTTACAGGAGAGAAGGTTGGAGGATAGTTTTGCAGCCCAAAGCAGAGGACAAATTTTAGCTACCTGCAGCATTGCTACTAGAAAGCTGAATGGATAGTTCTTGGTGTTGGAAAAAAATGCTTCCTTGATCACCCTTTTTTTTGGATAATGAGTATCCTGAGTCTCAGAAAAAAACAGCAAGAGCTGGACTTTTAAATTGAAACCAGAACAGATAATGATGTACCACAAATGACGATGTATCATAAGTAAATACCAATACTCACTTTTGCGCTGAGTTAGGAATGAGACCCCTCAGTTGTCCATGGAGTGCATCTTGAATATTGCCAGATGAATAGAGCCCAATTGGAGAGTTATAGGAGGAGCTCACTACCTGTCTTTTGTCATCAATATTTGCTGCTGCAACAAAAGGCTGGGCCCTTCTGTTGTGAGCTGTACCAATAGGCTTGAATTCCTGTACATGATAGGCAGACAAAACACACAGAGCTACAATGCACACCAAAGCTAGCAATGAGTAAATCTGACAACACCAGTATTGTTAATAACTGCATTTTTACTTTTGCAACTCTGCTATTTTTTAACTGGTGCAAGCATATTATATTTTTCCATGAATTTTGTATATATTATTTAAGCCATACACATTAATTTGTCGTCTCAAGGAAAGCAGAAGGCTTAGAAGAAATGGGAGGGATGAATATTAGAGTGACCTTTCATATTGGTCACTAGATTTGACAAGGTTTACATTATTCTTTTAAAACATTTCATGTGTGCTTATCTTAATTTCTTGAACATACATCAGATTGAGGACATACTTCTGAATGCATTCAATTTTTAAAGCATATCTGTGTATCAAAAATAGCACTGCTCTACAATTTAATGTGAAATCATCATAAATAAGTAAAACCCAGAAATGGGTAAATTTGAAATCATTCTGCCTGTGTGCCTGTGTTCTGCCTGTATACTTTTTTGTCATTTGCCAGGATAATTTCCTCAGTTTGTGGAATTCAAAAGGATGAGGCCTGGAAATAAAATCTCTGATGGTTTATCAGATATCTTAAAATGTCCTTCCGTAGTGGTTGGCCAGGAATGATAAAGATTTCTGACTGCATGAAAATTCACTTATTTGTATTCTGCATAATTATTACAGTGTCTTTGAGGCCCTTCCAGCTCAGGCCCACTCCTAAGCCTCAGAAATAGGGGCTTTGAAAAAAAATAATGTTGTTGTCTGCCGAAGGTTTTTTCCCTTTTTCCATAGTGAGTGAAGAACATGAACTGCTGCAGTCCATCACCTTGTCCTGATGGCTTGTGGAAACAGTTCTGTGAGAGCATTTGAACTTCCATCCATATGGAATAAAAAGCTTTTGTTTCTAACAAAGAGGTTTTTACAACCTGAATTGGTCTTTTCCTTAGAAACTTAAACTTGCAATGTTAAGATAGCGCAGGTCATTAATACTTCAATTATCATAGAATTTTTTTCCAGTTCTCCAGTTTGGTATTTGGGTTTGGTATTGAGTACAATTGTTATGCAACAGTTTGCAAAATATATTTAGGATCGGGCTAAAGAAAAGTCATGGATATATAGAATATGCAACCGGAAAATGCAAACAGTAAAAAGCAGTTTTTTAAATGAAAATGTTTAGGAGCATTGCACTTTAAGAGGCTACTGAAAGCAGTAATCGGATAAATGAGCACAAAGGTTTTACTTGCAATTCCTCCTTTCTGTCTGATAGAACAGAATTGCAGTTAACAAAATGTATTAGTAAATGGAAATAATCTAATAGTTTAGGATCATGGTTACTTAATGAAAGATATTAATGTCTAAGTATTTAAAATTGATTCAAATCCATATATGATGCAAAACAAACAAAACCAACTGTGAACATTGTAATTTCATCCCCATATTTCATTTCTTACAGAGAAATGAACAGAAGATGTGGCACCATAACAGCATGTTTACAATGTAACAGTTGTGAAACAACTTGCAGTTAGTGAGGCTTAAATTCTGCTTTCTTTATAACTTATCTATTAATATAAAATGTCAGTGACAGAACATACAGCAGCAAAAATAGTCCAGCTCTTGTGTTTATTTGATATCATTGAATCTGTGAAAAGTCCTCTTTTAGTTCAAAAGCTAAATGAGAACTGGATGTTGTTGAAATTTCAAAGTAGGAATATTGGAGAATTACAGTACTTAATTTATTAATTATTTTTCACAACTGACTGATTTTTTTGTGGGGCTAGTTACATTTTTGCATTGATACAGGTATCAGGAATAGAAATAATGTAGCACCAAAAGCCTGTAGAAATGCATCCCTCACAGCCGATATGATTGCATTCCTTGGGGTAATTGCTGTGACAGAACACAAATGTGTCTGTCCATTTTCGAGGTATCTTGTGGCGAAGATCTTTGTCTTTGAGTGCTGTTATAAAGAGAGGTAGGTCCTCAAAACTAGCCCAGCACAATTATATTGTTTCAAAAGTTGATTATAAATGGTAATAGACTATAAACTTACTTCGTAGAGCAATGGATTGTGTTTTTCTTCGATTTTTGTACTTATCTATGTGCATAATATATCTCCCAGGAATGTATAATCTCCTTCATGGCCAAAGACTAGTCTGACTGAACAAAATGTTCAAAGGCAAAGATAGAAGTAAGAAAGAAAAGTTCAAATAAAAACAATTCAAGAAATTGTGGCAATGAATACAAAATTATTTTCAATGAGGTTAAAGTGATCGTAACAGAAAACATTTGTGAGTCATCATATTTTTTTACATTGACAATATAGCGGAAAGCATTTTAAAATAATTTTATTATAAAATTTGCCATGTAATGGTTTTGTTTTCTCTTTCTACTTATATTTGTTGAGAACCTTATGTTATAAATTGCCTTTATTCAGAATACAATGTGATTGCACTAGTATTTCTTCAAGTGGTCTGCTATTTCCTATTATTTATCCATACACTATAGGTTGCTCCAGACTGTCAAAATCAGGGTGGCTGTTTTTTATATGAGAATGTGTAGCTTTCAAGAATGACTCTCAGTCAGCCACTTGCAGCTGTGAATTAGAATTGTTGCCTCAGTTTCCTCTTCTCAGATTTAAAAATAGTGAGAGTCTCACTGTGCTCTGACAATTGCCTGTATCAGTCTCCAGGTGGCCTTTGGGAGATTCTCAGGCTGATTCAGAAGTTTGCTACAGTGTGAAGGTTCCTTGTTCCATAGCTGTATGTGGGCACAGTATTTAATTGTTTATCAGGTTTCACATAGCCATCTCCATGAATCTGTAGAATTATTTTCATTCATTGAAGCTAAAGTAAGCATTCTTTGGCCAAACATTTGGCCACAATGCTGAACAATTTAAAATAGGGTTTCCATTCATTTGCAAGTATCTTTTATTAGCTTGCCAACTTGAATTAGGTACTTATTAAGAAGATTGTGTAAGTCATCATTTGTTACTGTTTTTTAGTTGGCTCATAATGTATTTTAAATAACTGACTTCTCTTCACTTTCTTAGTGAATTTTAAAATGTTTATTTGATGAGAGTGAAAAAATTGGATACATTTATAAGATCTATGACCTTTTGAGTAATTTCGGTTATTATATAAATAGGAGCCAGTGGTTTTCCATTTCTGCACACCAGTAAATGCATGCAATACTTTTGGATAAAAAATTCTATGTTTAAAGTAATACATTATTGCTTTTTTTTCTCCATTCATCTTGGCTTCAGTGCCTGTATTTATTGTTAGAATTCAGCAAACTCTCATAAGACTTGGACAGCACAGGTTGTAGGTGTGCAAAAATTTGTCATCTGCGATTCAAGAAACTTTTGCTGTTTTCTATACTGGTACACATGCTCCTGTGTCTTGTGACTAAATATGCTGTAAAATTTAATTTTAAATTCCAGCAATTGCAGAATAGGCTATATGTATTTTTATTTCACAGGGAGTGATGGATACTCAGATGAAAGAACTTAATCTAAAATGTAAAACATTCCAGGAATGCTTTAGTATATTTGCTTGCAAGCATTGCTACTTTTTGGATGCCTACTATTTATGAAATATATTCAGTACTCCTGAACTTCCTAGGGAAGAAAAAGAGATATACTAAATGAAAATGCTGGCTGTTTAATCTAGGAGAAACAGTTTTTCTGATTGCCCAATGGAGGCTGCTTTTCAATAGTCTGCCAAATAGCACTTAGTGAAATCTTGTGATCTATTTTTAAGGAACTGTCCTTTTTAGGAATGCAGCTTTCATGCAGAGGGATTGCTCTTGTGTCATGCATGCCTGCATGGTTTTCTGTATAGCTTTTTTAGTGAATTTGTTCCATTACTAGTCATCTAATGTGTATCCTAGCTCTTCCACAGGAATATTAATTTAAAATAGTTTTGTTTCTTCACTATAGTATTTCTGCTGCTGAAGAGGCTATATTATTTCTGATGGAGTTTCCTGTATCACTTAATGCAAATTTTAAATCAGAAAGAACAGAGAGAGAAAACACTGAAATGCTGTATTCATGTTTGGAGCATCTCTGTGACAACAGAATTGGTGGAAGTCTATTGCACAGGGTTTATTGGAATGGAATCTAGACTTACATTTTTTTTTCCTGGGATATCACAGGATAAATACTTTGACATATTTGCTTTGAACCTGGCCTTCCAGGATCAGCAGTATATTCTTCTCTCCCTGCTCTTGAGATAACAGCAAATGTTTATGTAGGTTAAAGAGGAATGACAAAGAAATAAAGGATGAGTTGTAAGCAGTAGCTAGCTAATTTGCTATTAGCAATATGAAGGCTTTGACTCGTAGTAGCCTTTTCTTTTTTTGAGTTTGAAAAGAGAGATGGCTGTCAATTGATTGGATTTGCTTCAGTCATATACAACAATCAAGACTTTCCTAGTCAGAAGTGGTGAGTGATTTGCTTATTGACCTATACATGGATGTTGTGTGAATACGTAAACTTCAGTTCTGTGGCATAGTATAAAAATGTGTGGAGGTAAAGAGATCCAGCATTTAAAGATCTCTCTGTTTAACTGACTACATCAAAATGAATTTTGTGATCTGATGGCTTCATCACTTAGGTACTTTATTCCTAAATGAAGAACTTCCTCATATGACGAAGAATCTCTAAAGGAGTCAAAGCAACTTGAACTGTATCAGAATAAGAGGACATATTTTATTTCCATAATAAAACTATGGTGATATGTAGACTCATAAAGGAAAATGAGAATTTTTTGTAGCTTTTTAATATTTTGTTTTGGTTACAGCTGAAAAATCAAAAACATTGAGTCAGATAAAATGGTGTTCCTGGATGTCATAATCATGGTGGTTCATATGAGCTTAAACTGGCTAATTATGGATGAAGTTCTAGTTAAAGAATTTTAATGACCACAAGAGAGATTTTTTTGAGTTTAAAAAGGCAAATGAAAATGGTTAGGTAACTTTTCAGAGTTCATACCTGAGGTTCAGCTTCCAAATTTATCTTGAAGGGATGTGCTCTGCCATCTTCTGCAACTTGTGGGGACCATAACTTAGTTCCTGCCCTAGAAAGAAAGTAAGAGAGGCTGAATTTAAATAATATGAATTCCTATAGAGTTGTGTATGTCCCCATAAAATATAACGCAGCTTGTAAATCTGCAGGCTATTTCTATACTCTTTTAGTGTTTTGACATAAAAATATGCCAATGATATGTAACTGATATATATAAAATGTATTTACTTGTAAAAAAATTACGTTTGCTATTAACATTGGGAAAGAAGTTGTTAATAGTTACCAAATGCAAAAGGAAAGGAAGATTAGTGACTTTGTGGCCTGAGCTAACCAAGTTAGCTCAGTTTTAGTTTTAGTTTTTTTGTTTTTTTAATGGTTGCTAGAATTAATGTTGGGTCCTCAGAATATTTTATATGAATAATTGAATATATTAGTAATAATCCTAAACATCAATTTCTCTTTTTTCTTTTTTAAAGGCCATAATTTTCATGTCAAGCCTGCTTTTCAATGTTTAAGTGCAATCTAAGTATGCAAAGTATTTGCAAGGGGAAATTGAAGTTGCATAGGTGATTCTTTCAGTCACGTAGGCAGAAGTAACAAACACAAAAATATCAGTTACAGTTCTGTTTTTATTGACAAAGTCAAATGTGGCAGCTAATTTTAAAGTAGAATAGTAATAATGTTAAATATTAATCTGGTGCTGCTTTTATATATACATTTATCACATCTTGAAACTGACTTCCCAAGATAGTTGTTAAATGGCATATCAATCTGTAGGAGAACATTGAATTAACAGAAGGAATATTTAACTATGGTGTGTGCTCTAGTAATTCAACAACACTCTTTAAAAAAAAGAAACACTTTTGTATTTCAAAAGAAATATTGTAGTCAGCTACAATAAAGAGTTGTGCCTCCTTGAGAGCCTCAGGTTAATCATCTCAGTTTTGGAGACAGCTGAAAGAATGTGCCAAGTGATTCTGATTACAGGCTGAGCAAACTCAGCTGGAGATGTGAAGCTGCAGGTTGTTTCTCTTCTGAGCTCTAGTAGAGAGAAGTGAACACAAAAGTTTCTGGATTACTGCAGTTCAGGTAAGACAGTGTTTCTCAATTTTGTTTTAAACATTGCTTTGAGAATAATTTTTAGGCTTAATATGTTGTGACCAAAGAGATTGATTTGCTTTAAACTCATTCCTTTGTCACCCCTTATGAAAGTGTGACATGATGTTGTTTTCCCTAACTGGGATGATGCACTGGCAGCTTTATGTGTGGCTGGGAGAAGGAGGCAGTGATAAGCACCTGTGGCTGAGGGAGTGTTAGAGCAGAGAGGTCACTGAACAACTGACACTAGATGAGGATTTTATTATTTCCCCAAAATATGAAGAACTGTTTGCTTACTGACAGTAAACAGAGGACTTGTGCAGTCAGCAGAATTACAATGTGAGTTACCTGAGGGAAGCTGTTCTTTTTCTGCCTACAAAAATGAGTTCTGGGGTTCTTGCTTGATCTGGAGTTTAAGAGGTAGGTCTAGTTGCTTGTAATTTTAAGGATTTTGGAAACTTCCTCACACTATTTAAAATATTTACACCATCAGTTGTACTGTTGATTGAGTAGTATCTTCTTTCAGAAATAGGCAGATGTGTACACGTACCTCTCTATTTTCAAACAAAGCTGATGTGTAGCTGCTTTAATTCTCTCCTGGGCATCATTATGTGTCATGTTCTCTGTGCCTAGTCCATCAATAGCTATAATAACATCACCAGGGCACAGGTTGGCAGCTGAAGCCTTGCTTCCGGGTGTAATCTGAAAAGACCAAAATGTAACTGCTTAATCACCATGCATGCCCAAAAATTAATAGAGAAAATAAACTTCATCACATTCCCCTATTTCCTGTTGGATGGAGGAGGTATTTTGCCAAAGGCTCTGTAGTTCTGTTGTCAGGAAACCATATGAATGTTTTATTCATCATAACTCCAAATTAGAAAGAAATTATCTTCACCTTTCTGCATTAGTTTCCACTCTGATTTCTGTAATTACTGTAACTCATCTTTAAATATTATTTCTCTACTGCCATTATAAATATAATTTGCTTGAAAAAAAAGTTATGTTTTCCCCTTAACAACAACAATCAGTAGAAAAGAACTGGTAACAAATTGTGTTGCTGAACTCCTTAAAGTGCTTAGGTTTAAATCCCATGGCATTTAAGTAACAGTGGCCCTGATCCTTCATGATGGTCTGTGTGGTGCAATTCATACCTTATGTACATATACCAGCATCTGTGACATTCACAGAAATAGCCCTAAGCTTATCTTTCTGTGCTTGCTTTTTTCTTTTTTTTTGTCCAGTTGACAAACTTCTTATGGTTGTGAAACTGATTGAAATCCAACATAATTTTGCTTTAAAATAACTGCTGTAGAGAGGCCATGACCTTAGATGTTACTGAAGCTTCTTCTAGAATTACAGACCTCTATTTGCAAGAGGTGACTTCTCCTGCCACCACAACACTTACACACATACCACATACACAAGAGGTCTTAGGTCACTGAGTGGGATTTCCGTCTTTACGTGTGTATTGCCATTTTGGGCAAGTCTTGATTACCTAGACAGCAACATGAAATTCATGCATGTAGCACATAAACTTGTAAAATTCCACTCTCTAACAGCAGAAGGCACAAGTTGGATCATGCAAAGTAACAGTAGCTGCCTATTTGTAAGTAAATGAATCCCAGTGTGAAGGCAAAAAAAAGTCAATATAGTCTTATTTCCAAATGCAGTTTTTTAATCTGTGACATATATTGAATGAAAAATCTATTGGATAGAATTTTTCTCACTATTTTCTGCTGTAGTGAAAGCATGTGTTGTCTTGACTGCAAAAGATACTGTGGAGACATTATTCAGCTGTGGTGTTTCACAGTTTTCCAGCAAAGGAAGAGAGTAAGCTGCCCAGTGTACTTCCAGCATGTTCTGAACCTCGGCTTTGGTGAAGCTGGCAGACTTGTCTCTGAAGGGGACACTACTGTCAACATAAAAGCCAAATAGAAATTCCTTTTACTATGAGTTGCACTGTATTATTATTGAAATAATGGCAAAAATCAGTGAAGGGGGGGTCATTCTCTCCTCTTTCCATCTCCATTAGGTGAGTCTGAATGATCAAAGAGATTGTTTTGTGAGCTCTTTTTCTGCATTCCCATGTGTAAACTTATTTTGATATCACTGTAGCAAACTACAATGCATGTGTTATTATCAAGTCAGGCAAACATTCCAAAGGGGTGCTTGTGGCCAGCTTCAGACTTTTACACCCTTGCCCTTCAGAAGAATGGACTAGTGTATTATGAACTTAACAAAGTGTTTGGGTGCCTGAATAATCTGTTTCAATATGAATCGAGGAAGTTGTTTATAAATTCTAAGTCTGAAATCTCTAAAATTGTCTACTTCTCAAACTTCAACAGCTGCAAGTGTAAATGATCAGCAATGAGACCACTTATACCACTGTAGTAAGACAGGGGTTAGAGGTATGATCCTTCTTCTTCCTTCAACGTGGAATTGCTCCTGATTTGGCTTAATATGTTGTGAATATCTCTGCAATGACAAACTGCAGCAGAATTCCTCGTGTTCCAATGTGACTGTTGATGCTTTAATACCTAACTGGGCAAACCAACCATTCTTGGTTCCCTCTCAAGAGTAACTTAGCTTGTATAACCCTTATGGAGGTTACTCTGCAGCTTATGTGTTTTACACGTCACAACAAATCATCTGCTGTACCTGTGACATACTGCAGCAAAGCCCTGAGACAGTGATCCTGCCTTATAAAGTAGTGTGTCTGCCTAGCACAGTACATTCCCCTGCAGCTGTGCTGCTAGCAGAACATGCCCTGCTCCATGTTGCATCTAAATCCCTTGGGTTTTATAAGTTGTCAGCAGCTGCAGTGATACCACATAGATGTTTGAATGGGGTTGCCATCATTTGGTGGGAGCAAGGAGGGAAAGAAACAGGAGTCTGTGTTTCCTATTCCTTGGCTGAATTGATCGTTGCTAAGCTCCTGAGATGTCTCTTGGGCCTTAACACCTTGATGGAGGTGCTACATGCCCAGGCCTGCTAAGCTGCATAGCAGGCACCTGCCCTGCTGATCACATTTTATAGGAAGGGAACATGCTGTACAGTGCAAGATATCGTGGGTACGATACTGATATTGTGGACACCTCAATAATGTAAGTGGTGCTGTTTCTTATTAGTTACACCTTAACTGTGTATTTTGAGCACTTAGAATTGTGTTGTGACAGTAGTGTTTGTTGCTTGCTCACCCTGGCTTCATGAGGTAGATTCTGGTGTTGCTTTGGGAAAATTTTTTCCTTGCTCCTCAGGCCGTGTCTGCATGGTATGCCTGTTACTCCTGTATCCTGGGCATCTTAGATTTGGATAAATACAAAAATAGATGTTGGTCATTCAGATGTCACAGATTATTTAACCACATGAGGGTCAAATGTCTCCAAAGAAACTCTGAAGAAAATCTCTCTGCATCTGATAATAGACTTGTAAAGCTTATGACCTTACACCATCATAAATATTTCAGGCTCTGTGTTTTTTGAAGAGAGCTATGAATGTCTTCAGACAGAGTGCCTAAACATAAAACTGAGTTAGTATGAATACTTGCATTGTGATTGGTAAGGGTCTATAAAAATAAAACAGAACTTTAAATCTAGAGTTGATAATATTTTACCATTCTCTCCAAACTTCACAAGTTTCAGTTGTTCCTGTTTCATCAATGCAATTTCTTTGCATCTATGCAAAGTTCCAAGTAGTTTAATGTTTTCAGTCTTTGTAGTTAATTTATTGTTTCTGACCATAATAGAATTTGAATATGTTGATTTTTACTCCCCTCCTGTTCTTCCTCTCTCCCAGTGATCATGGTCTATAGTTTTTGCATTTGCTTGAAACAGTCAAAACAACAGAACAATTTTCACGTGAGCTTTTGAAGTGACATCTGTTCTTTAGACAGGTGGATAATCATCTCTTATGTCATCTGTCTCTCTTGACAAGTCCTGATAAAAGCTGTCTCTTGTTGAACAAGGACATAGCCAACCAATCTTCACATCTGTCCAATTATTTTATTCTGAAAATATTTTAAAATAATTTCTATTTGTTGTTTAGTTTTTCTTGTCAGGACAGTTAAACCTAGTGTGAATGGGCTGCTTATGATAACTTTTACAAAAGAAACACCTAGACCCCAAGAGGCAAGACTGGAGAATCTTTTGAAATGCTCCTATTTCTTAAGGGGTATTACATAAATATTTAATGAGGGACTCTTCTAAATGTATGCAGTGGCAACAAAACCACTAACTTTGAACAAATTTACTGTTAAATTCTTAAACCCGAGCTAAGCAAATGTAACCTTTTCCCCCTATATATATGTATTTATATATATTTCATTGTACTGCTTGAAACGTGATTTTGAGCATTTCTGCAATGGCTTATGTCTTGTGAGGCATTTGGTAGGTATGAGTCAACTGCAAAGTAATTTATTCTTTAGAAAGTTATATTTATAGTAACATCCTTTGTTATTGCAGTTTTAAACTTCATTGCACTTAATCTAAACACAAAGAAAATACAAACCAGACACCGCTAAAATATTTTTCATTAGAGATAATGGAAACTATTTTTCTTTTAGAGGCCCATAAAAGGCAATGAAGGCCCCAAAACATCCAGAGATTTTTTTTTTAATTCAGTGTTTCTGTCTCCTCTTTCTTTAAAGGCTTTGCTATATTCTATGAGTAGTTGTTATGTAACTGCATTCAGTCAAATAATAGCATTTTCATTTACTTCCGTTTAAAATACATAATTTTTTAATGCTTTTATAAATCTGGAATTAATCACTAAGTTAATTTATACTAGTTAATATGTGAAATGATGGTCCTTAAACTTTCTATTGATTCTTGTTTGGAAGCATATTTACTGCAAGACATCACTAGTGATATAAATCCTTCAAGGCTTTTGACATTTACTCAATACCAGGCAAAGTGTATATAGTGAGTCAAAGTGTAGGGCTTTAAAAAAAAAAAAAAAGAAAAAACAAAAAAAACCCATAGCATTTTGGAGGCTCATGGAACACATCTTTGGTGTGTCTAAGATCCTGAAAAGCAGCAGAAATCTAAGGAGAATGAATTCTAGCCTGCTGTGCATTGAACACAATTTTTAAAATATAGAAATTCTCAAAATATGTATCCTGGTTTTGAGCAGATCCACATCTGTAGGTGCAGGGTAGCTGACAGTGTGTTGTATGCTACATTGATTGAGCCACTGGTTTTTTATATTGCAGCTATCTCAAAATCCATGAAAAAGAATGAAGGCTTAAATTCTTGACATTTATTGGGGGAGGAAGGGCAAGGTAAACTTTTAGTTTCTAAATATGGCAAAACCCACCAAATAACCCACACTCTTTCATATGCAGGACTGGATAACTTTCTAATAACTCACTCTTTTAACATTCATGAAAGTGAAAACTTCTAGATATGTAAAAACAGTTATTGTTGCCTTTGCTGGCAATAAACAGAACTTGGTTTAGTTAAATAAGAGTCAGATTAATCTGCAAAGCACAAACTCCCAGGCGTGAGGAGCTGCTGCCAAGCAGTTTTCCCCCCCAGTGATCAGAGAGGCTAGCTGTGGAAGCATAAAAGCGAGGTCTTTCTTTTAGCAGGTTTGAATGTAATTTTGAAAGCCTAGAAAATCATGCCAGAGTTTTTCTGCTGCCAAGGCACTTGAATTTAATTTTGAGACTGAAGGAGAAGTGCAGTTATAGTCTCTTAGACCAATCACAGAAACATGTCACACAAAACTTGTAAGAACTCCTAGTATTCAGCTGGCTTTCCTTTTTTATCTACTCACAGTCTGCATCTCTGAACTCCAGAAAAGTAAAAGACAAAAATCTACAGCAACTATTAAATGGAATAAATAGAAAGGAAATGGAAAGAGTACATACCCTGGTTATGATTAAGGGCTGGTTAAAATCTATTCCTCCTGAGAGCCTGAATCCCCAGGGTGACGGTCCTTGAAGAACAACATTTTGTGGCATTGTGGACGGATTTTTCTTGTTACTGTTCTTTTTTCCTTGGGTCCGTGTGAGGAGTTGAGCTGTAGGAGGAAGGCTGCTGACAGCAGAGCACCTGCCAGACAGGGCAGCCGACCTTTTATACCTCCTAAGAAGTTTTACTCATTCCAAAGCTGTGGGCACTGCACTTTATCCCTACTCTTTGGGTGACGTCAGCCAGTCCCTCGGCTTCTCCACCCACAGAGGGGAGTATCAAACTCGGACAAATAAAGCTTGAATGCTGGAAAGTTTACAACAAATGCATCAACTTTATGCTGCTGCTTTAGAGTCCCCCTCAGCCCGACAATCAGTAAGCTTCAGGATGCAGCGTCCTGGTTTCTTAAAGCAACCTCGTTGCTCACTTGATATCATGCAGTTTATATTGCTGGTGTTTGATTCAGCTATGCAATGCAGTGCTTTGACTTTGTACATGATTCTGATTCACGTAAACAGAAATACTAATAAGGAGATTTCCCTCTCAAGGTCTTGTTTCACATCTTGTCTTATTTGTAATGTAATAGTGTATTGCATTAAAAAGTCCTTCCAGCCCTTCAGCTGCATTTTTTAGATAGTCACTTGAGACCATGGCATGCACCAGTCCTAATGCCTTGAAAAATCTGGACTGATGTCATACATATTTCTCATACTGTAGAAGAGAAATGCGGTATTAGGTGATGATGTCTTTTTTCCTTTGTACAAATCTTAGCTTTTTAAAGATAGTTGTCCTTTACTTGTGGCTTGCTAGTAGATAGTAGTGTTCATCAGAGGTTTTTGTAACTATCTTCTTGTCAAGAATATTTCAAAGATATTCTTTGTTATTAAAGTATAATTCACATCCTGATCAGAATGAAACACATAGTAGTGACTCTTTGAAAGTAAACCATCAGAAAGGGTATCTGTATCACAAAGAACTTGCGGGGTGTCAGTCAGCTGGTGGGGGCACAGCTTTCATTAGGAATGTGAAGGAAGATAGGCACAGTTAAGGAAATAAGGCAGGTGTTTAGGTCAGTGGTGTATCAGTCTTGGTAGCTCAAATACTTTTGTGTATTTTGAAGTTGAAGAAAAAAATCCTCTCATTCTTTCTGAGTGGTGTATATACTCTGGTATGTCCTAACATTTTGAGATTGGTTCTGTATATGCCTTCAAAATATTGCCACTATATAGTTCATCCTGGCAGAGTACACTGTGTGTGTTCAAGGTCAGAACTTATCACCAAGTAGTACTTCAGTTTCTTACCTTTTCTCCTCTTCCATGATTATCTGTTTTGGGTTAAAACAGCTGGTGTATTTGGTACTTTTTTGTTTTCATCTGCTAGTGAATCCTGTGGTGTGTTTTGATTTGTAGTGGGAAATGAATAACATATTAGATGTATTTATTTAAAGAGTTCTTTCCTGTGCAATTTGCATTTTCTTTTTCTCTGAACACTGGCAATCTCAAATACTGAGATTGCAAATCCTGCAATGCACTTCAGTAGAAAATTATTTTAAAATACAGGAATTTCAGTGTCAGGTCAAACATTATAATCAGGTTCTTAGTTTCCTGTGTCAAAAATTATGCTTGTATAATAACTTGTTCACTGGAGAAATTCCTTCCAAATTCCCATTCTTAAATTACTGATTTATATCTTAATGTGCAGGTTTACTTTTTGGGTGTAGGGTTTTTTATTTGGTTGTTGTTTGTTTTTTTTAAAAAAAACAGGTTTGGGATTGCTTAAGTTGCTTAAGTGTCTGTAAAGTTTCTTCATGTTTCTGTACTGTACTGAAATTTGCTTATATATCCCTTCTAGTCTTGCTAGATTAGAAGGGCAGGGTAGGTTTAACCTTTTTCTAGGCAAATGGTTGCTCTCAGTTTCAGTGGAAATCATATGCATATATGAAGCTGAGCTCTTGCTCTAAGAATAATTTTTTTTCTGCCTGGTTTACTGGAAGGGTGACTTGCTCTCCAAGGTGCTGTTGCTCTGGAAAGCAATTGCGAGATCTGGTTTTATTGATGCTTCCCAGGTTCAGCTTGGCTTTTTTTTTTTTTTTTTTCCGCTTTTTTTTTTTTTTTTCCCCCCTCTTTGTAATTAGAGAGGGGAAAGAAAAACAAAAGACTTGAAAGGCAATACTGACTTGATGCTTGTTACATAAGGCCGTTTCATAGTTCCTTTTTTGTGACTGCTTTTAAGAAAGTCCTTCACCCATTTACATAGTATGTGTACATTTTTTGGCTTATCTACCTAGACCTGCACTTCTGTTTTTACATACTAGACCAAAATGACCAGCTGAGCTGTATTGAAGCCAGAGCATTTTATCCACTGGACAAAGGTATATCCCTTTCAGTAAAGTAAAGAACATTTTCTTTTTTTTTGTCTGGTTTTAGGGAATCATATTTTCTTTCATAATAGTTGTAACTATGAAAATAGATTTTTGTAAATGTGAAGCAGTGTGCTATTTCCTATTTTTTTTTCCTTGTGTCATTGAATCTTCCATATAATAAAACAAGTATTTTTAAATAGATTTTTAATAGATTTTCTTGTTTTGTACTATAGGGTCATTGGTCACAACTTTTTTTATCTGCAAATACTGCTATGAATTTATGCATAAACTAGCCTCCCCAGAATAATAATGTAGTCTTTTGGTTTATAGTATGACTACCCAAATGTTTGAAGCAGACTTTTGCTTTTCAGGTTGATATTTAATTTGATTTTTGTGCCAAGTGTTATTTTTGTATCCAATGCAGCCTGAAAGGGTATAACCACTGTTTTCCACCCGCCTCCTCCCCCGGAAATGGAAGGTGGGGGGAAGCTGTGTCAAATTCCTTTGTGTCACTCAACTTTTGGAGATTTGGGAGCTGGGGGTCTCAATTAAGGCATTAGAGTGGTAGCATGGTACACAAATCTGTCATTGCACACCATGACAACTCTCTAGCTTTCAAACTCCTGTGCCCATGGCATGGCACTGTTTTCCATATTGCTAACAAAAGGCAAGCTTCTTACCTCACATCAGAATGTTTTGGATGTAATTTTCATGTTTCTTCTTCCAGTATGTCCCTGCCTTGATGGAAGAAAATGTTGTTTTCCTTACACTTGGCAGACTGAGAGTTGAAGAAAAAGGTTTTAAGGAGCAAATGTTTAAAACCAATTCATCCTTCTGTAAACTCATGGAGTGCTCTGTTTCAGGCTGCAGAAACAGAATAAACGGTGGTACAAGCAGAAACAAACAAAAAACTCCCAAACACTTCAGAGTCTGCATTTTAATTCATAAACCTCCTGTCTTACTTCAGAGCTTAGTCTATATCATAATAAACTGTATTGTACTTTACTGTTTGTGAAGTTTAGATAGTAACAGTCTAGGATACTAAATGGAGCCTGAAAATCACTTGTACATGTGGAACAGCATGTACTGAAACTGGCTGTCCAGAGGTGAAAGGTCAGAGTGTTCCAAACTGCACAGCCTGTTTTCTATTTCAAAACTCATGGGTATATGAGAAATCTTTTTATAATGAATACTACTTATTTTAAAAGAGTTCCCAAAGCAATAAGACTGTATGCAGATTGTAGTTTTTCCTAATTCCATTGTTAGGGAATGATTAATAATTTGGATCCTGGTGAACTTTTCTTATCAGCTTTTGGTTAGTGGATGTCTGACAAATTAGCAGTACCCTTAGTTTTTCCTGGCAAGGGAGAGATCTTCTTTTCTTTTCCTAGGTGGTATGACAAGCACCTCTGTTATTCTTCTCATGCATCTGGCAAGGAAGGGAGGAGTGGAGGTCTTGCACTTTACCCCTCTCCCAGGCATTAGAAATTCCTGGGCTGGAAATACATGTGAGGTGGAGAAGGACATTCCTACAACTCCTCCCTACCTGCCCCAGCTTTGTAGATGCTTTGAAGCAGTGATTTAGGTCAACTGACCTCTCATTTTAAACCTTTGATTATCATTTTTACATAACTCTGGTGCTTTTCTCTGCTGCTTAGATTCTAAGTAGCAAACTGAAGCTCATAAGTATTTTGGTAAATCTTTTGTATGCAGATTTGGGAAGCCAGGAATGTCTTGTCTATTTTTTTTTTCACCATATTATTTAACTTTCAAAGGTTATTCATTTGTTCCATGAATGCTGCAGAAATGGAAGACTTAAACCTCAATTTTATTCAAGAAGCTTCCTACTTACTAAGTGAGGAGTAGGTGTCTTAGAACCTTTTAAAGCTCACATTAAGGATTTGTTCTAAGAATGTCTTGTCTAAAATGGAAAGTAGTTTTTTTTTTTGTTTTGTTTTGTTTTGTTTTTTTTTTTTTTTTTAGTGAAATGGTATGTTTCAGAGCTGTTCCATAAAATTCTAAGCAAATTGAAAATAGAATTTGAAATATTTTATTTTTAAAAGTTGTTTAATTACAGATGTACTTGGTTTTCATCTTAACTGATATTTGTGCACTGATTTTTTTCCCTTCTTTTCTTTTTAATTTTTAAAAAATGTAAAGGAGGAGTTGGGGACATTTATAAAATAATGACAAGAGTTTAAAACAAAAATCTAAAGAGTATATTGAATGGAATGAGATGCTGATGTCACATTAAGGTATTGAAATACTGCTTACCTTAATTTTGAAAACTCATGTCTATACCCTATGTTTGCAGCTCTGTGTTTGCAGGCTGTGCATGTATTGACTTTCAGTCTATGTTGCTAAGATTCTGATTACTGCACTGGTTTTCTGAATTGTTGCTTCTGTCATATTATTTCAATTTTGCCTGTTTTGCAGGGGGTTAGATATGGTTATGACTAGAAAATGAATTGTTGTCATTTATTGGTTTTGTTGTGAGTCTGATGCGTCAGCTCATTTTATCATTATGGTTCCTGGCAAAAAAAGTTGCAAAGCATTTCTCAAATTTTGTGCTTAATTGCTGCATTTACCAAATTTCACAATTAATTTTATGAATGTTTTCTGAGAGGCTGTATTTTCCTCTTGTGAAGGGTTTCCCCTTCTGTTCTGACAGTCTGTTGAAGTTCTGATGGAGAATCTTAAAGCTGACTGAGGAAGGAGTTGTTTTTCTTTTCAGCTCATTCACTCATCAGTGTTTCTGCTCCCTTTAATAGCTGCAGTCAAACGTCATGTCCAAATTTGGCAAGCTGATGCCTTTTTTGTTTAAAGTTAAAGCCATTTTGGCATTGGGAATAAGATAAGCTCATTTCAAAGAACTGAAGTTGGAATGAAGTTAGCAAGGCTCTGTGCCAGCAGATAAGTCCAGTATGCTTCATAAATTAACATGCTGGCACTTACATAATTTTTGAATAAAAGTTGGCTGTTACACAACTCTCTGATGTGTTTGCCATTTGACTTTA